CAATTCCATTCTGTTGAGGTGTATAAGGACATGTCTTTTGATGTAACACTCCTTTGCTAGAAAGAAAGGATTGGAAGCCATGGTTTGTAAACTYTGTTCCATTGTCAGACCTTATGGTTTTGATAGTTTTATCAAATTGGGCCTTAACCATGTTAAAAAATTGAGTGAAAATGGCAAGTGTTTGGGTTTTGTGTGACATCAGAAATGTCCAAGTTGCTCTGGAACAGTCATCCACAATTGTTAAAACATATGTRGYTCCAGTAATTGAAGGCTCTTTGTATGGTCCCCAAGTGTCCAAATGGATTAATTCAAAGGGTTGTTGGGTAGTGATACTGCTGGTTGGAAAATGTAGTCTTTCTTGCTTAGATAAGTGACAAATTTCACACTCAACCTCATTTTGTAAATTCAAGCATTTAAGAAAATCAATATGCTTTAAAACATTCATTGAAGCATGTCCCAAACGACCATGCCAAAGAGAGATTTTTGAAGTAGCCATACTTTCATTTCTAGAAACAGCAGCATTATAAGGTAAAAAAGTATCCTTGAAATTCAAAAACAACTTGCCATTGTTTGGCTCTGTATTACATCTGAATTTTCTAAAACAAGAGTTGTCCAGGATGTATAAGCTTCCTAGTAGTTTCCCTACTGCCAGAATCCTTTTAGTCTGCAGGTCCTACAGCAGACAATGGCTAGGTAAGAATGTGAACTTTATTTGGGCAGACTCAGCAAGTTTATTTACTGATAAGAGGTTGAATTTAAAACTAGAATGTGTAATGCATCTTCAAACAAATATCAGTTGACAAATGAATATTTTCAATGCTATGAACAAATTTAATGGATCCGTCTGGTAGGCAAATAGGTAGTGGATGTTTAGTGGGTCTAGGCTTATCAAAAAGGGATTTATTTCCACACATGTGGTTTGAAGCCCTTGCGTCAATTATCCAAGTACCCGGCTTCAATAAGTCAATAGTACTCAATGCAAAACTTAAAGCACATTCAGTATTGAAGGAATTACTTGCATAGTTGTCTAGGTTAGCAAAGTTGACATGGTTGCCTTCCATAGTCATCTTCCCTTTCATCAGCTTCAGGATTTCTTGTTGCACCATATTTGCCAAATCCATTTTCTTATCAGTTTTCCCATCAACCTTCTCTTTAGTTCCAAAATCAAAGGGAGTTTCCACCATGTTGGCCATTGTTCTGTTTCCTATTTTTTTTTGCTGCTCCTTGAACTCCTTATACCATTCTGGGTATCCATGGAGCTTGAAGCAAGTCTCCTTCACATGTCCCTTCACATTGCAATGATCACAATACTTGTTGTCCTTATCCTTCCTTCCCATGTCTATCTTCTTATTATTTCCCCTATTAGTTCCATCCCTTCTGTAGGGTTGATTGGTGTTAAGGATCCAGGAAGTTACCATGTAGTTCACCCTTGTCTATAGCTCAAACTCTGTTGTTCCTTCATCTGGCTGAGCAATCCTCCCATCAACGAAACCCAGCTTCAGTTTCACACCTAGAGCTATCTTCATAGATCTGCTCCAAGTGAGGTAGTTGTTCCAGTTAATGGTGTTGTAACTAGCATCATTCCAGGATGATCCGAACTGTGCAAGAAGAAAGGGTCTTCGTTCGAGTTGTAGGCTGACTCTCTTGTAATCTCTGCAACAGCTCCAAGGCCGGTCGTATTTCGACCATTACGAGTAACAGAGGTATCCACTTCTTCTTCCATAGTGTTGATAGGAAAACACTCAAAAAGAAAGGGTAGGCACCAGATCTCGTCACTCTGATACCATGTACCAAAGCAAAACAACAAGAAGAAGAAAGTAAGAAAAAAAGGCAAGAAGGAAGGAAGAAGAAAGTGGAGAGAAAACTATTCTTTCTCGCAGTCCAAAGGGTTACAGTAACAGAGTTTATATACAGAGCATCGGCCAATAACAAAAGGCCAGCTTAAATAGTAAAAGACAAAAGAAAAAAAAAAGAATTAACGAATGACTTAAGAGTAAGTAACTCTACATAGTTCTCCGGCGTTCTTTGGAATACATCTTGTAGTCGGCGGTTTTTCGGTGTATTTGGTGGCAGTTACGGATGATGCTGTCTTTTGCAGTTTTCGGCGTGATTGGAAATTACATTTCATAGCTCGTGGCTTTGTAACCTCCTCTTGGTCAGTTTTCAGTTTCATCGGTAACTCTTCTTGTCAGTTTGCTTGTCAGTTTTTGAGAATTTCTTGTGAAGTTTTGACTCCGTTGGAAGTTGGCCCTCCTTTATTAGCGTTTCTTCTTGTGCAGTGCTTACAAGAATTTCTCATGGTGCTCAAGATTTGTTACAATCCGTTTGGGTTTTTTTTTTTTGTGTGTTTGCTGCTCATGGATTAATTGAATTTTTGAGAAAAAAAAAATGTCAAACTGCCAACGAACTTCACTTCCTGTTCATGGGCCCACACATGCATTTTCTGAAACAACGTAGTTATAGTCTATAGTCTATACTGTCTGCCTGAAAACGGAACATGCCCTTATGCCTATGTAGCTGAATGGGCTCAATGGCCAAGTCTGCCATGGGCTTTGAGCCCTTGAGCCTTCAGCTAAAAGAGCAGACACGGAAGGCTGCTCTGAGCCTGAGGTTAATGGTGGGGTTACGTGTCATGTGGAGAGCATTCTCCAACAGCCAAAGGGATGGGCCCAGTCTGTCATGCTATTACACGTCAACTCCAACTCCATGATTAAGTGGGTATTGGCTTAGGGTTGTACCAACGAGTATTGTTGATTGGAATCTAAATCCACCGGTGAGAAGAGCCCTCGCATATCACCACCATCTTCCTAAAGCCTTAATTAATCATAAACCATAATTTAAATATAATAATCCAATTGGGATATGCTCTTCACAGAGTGCATCCCACACCGACTTTACAGAGAAACGGAATCTGCTCCTCATAGCAGTGAGAACATCTACTATGAATAATAATTTATAAATATGGAAGATGTTCTCAATGCATAGTAGGATGTGCATGTGAAATGGATGTAAGGCGCCCTGTGTGGAGCAGATTTGATCTCCTTTGCAGTCACATCCCATCTTATATAAGGAGAATAATAATACAAAAGTACGAGAGATATTCTGAATATATTATGGGAGGTGCCTGTGAGGTTGGTGTGAGGTGCATGAAGAGCAGATCCGAATTCATAATAATCATGATCAATTTTACATCCAAAAAATGTGATGATGATGATGACAACAACCATGTTGATGATAAAGAAAATATTGTTAATAAAGATATATTAATATATTAATTAGATCGCTGTCATTGTTTAATAAAGATATAAATAAATAAATAATTTTTTTTATAAGATGCTAAATAACTACGCTATTATTTAAAAAAATTCCTTGCAACTAATTGAAATTGACTTTGTCACAATTCACAAAGTGAATTAATTCTGCTGACAACCACTATTTGTGGAGTTCTTCAAACATATTAATTTCTAAATAAATTAACATTTAAGTGTAATTAATTGTGGATTGTCAATATAGACCTGGCAATTGGGTTGGGTGGGTCCGGGTCGGGTTCAGGTTCGGATTGGGTCAAGATCCTTCGGGTTGATTTCGGGTCGGGTTGCATTTTGGGTTGGATTGTCAAATACTAGACCCGTGGGTCAATTTGGTTCATCCCAAAAAATAACTGAAATTTAAAAAAATAAAGAAAGACTACATAAAAATTGTCAAAATTAAAAGAAGTAACCTTAAAATTCCAAATATAAAACAAAAAACTTGAACATTTAACAATTTAAAGAGTAAAGATTAAATAGAAAAAATTAAAGAGCGGAAACTTCTAACAATGAATAAATAATCCCAATTAAACTTAACAATCAGGTCAAGAGGTTGACCCATGACCCAACCCAGTTTTTTCCAGGTTGGGTCGAGTCGGGTCATTCTCACATTCAATTAGTTAAATATGAGACCCTAACTCTGTTTTTTTGGATTGGGTTGGGTCAACTTTTTGCCAGGTCTAACTGTCAACCAAATGAGTTTCATCAGAAATTAAAATTATCAGTTATATTAAGATTCTGAACAATGATTCATGCTTCTACTACGACTACAACAATAAATCATACTACATAATTTTTTCCTTATACTGATTAATTCAACCTAAAAGTTTAAACTATTCGATTAGCCTATTGGGCTTGAAGTGCGGACGAGCATATACTGAAGTTTAATTAATTATAATGAGAGCGATGGGAATCAAACACTAGATCATCACTTGATCAAACGGGTCTCTCAATAAGCTTTTAGTCTCTAAGGCTAATAATAAAGATGATAGGCAGTAATTGTAAGCATCAAAATCATCACCAAAACTGGTCCCCTAACCTTGAGCTTGAGCTCTTTGCGGACAATTGCATCACTTAGGCGTGGCAGACAGGAATCCCTGCTTTCCCTGGGCCTAACCATCCATCCTCCTGAAATAAGGCTAACAAGAATAATGTTGAATTTTCAAAAGCAGGCAACTTTGGACCAAACTGAATATTCACCCTCCCACATAAAACAAACACTCAAATCGTGGTCACCATGCAGAAGCCTGCAAAGTCTTCAAGATTCCCATTGGTGGGTCTTCACTTACAAACTATGTTCCAAAAATGAAGAAAAAAAACACAACAGATCCATCGAGATTAATTATATTAAAGCATTCTTGTTTTTTTCTCCCCCTATATATATAATATGGGTTTCTATTAATTAATTCCATGATGAATCATTTTCATTTATATAAAGCTTATCAGCCTAAAAATAATTAGCTAGTTCAACTTAGAGATCATGATTTGGAATTTGGAAATGCATGCGTGTAATTAATTTTTTTTTCTTTTTTAAAAAAAAAGAGAGAATCTCTTTTTATCAGAGCAAAGACAAGGGATAAAAACGTACAGGAGGAATGAAAGAGAAGGAACGAAAGGTCCCTTCTTTTGGGTGTCAATAATATATGGCTTGGGGGCCTTGGGCTGTCAACAAACTTCATTAATCTGAAAGTGACTGGACTGTGGAGTCCCCTAAAGCCTTAAGAGGAATCTCTTCATTTAATTCCATTACATATATCCAGTTTTAATTTCTCTGCTTGCCAGTTGCCGCGCTTCCCAGAGCTGTGCATGCTTTTGGTAAATAAAATGGCTCAACACGGCCCAAGACTTGTAGTGCCCATAGACCTGAAGAAGAAGCCCTGGGAACAGAAACTGCCCCTTCATAATCGATGGCACCCCGATATACCAGCAGTTGCCGATGTGAAGGCTGGAGAGCTGTTTCGAGTTGAAATGGTAGATTTCAGTGGAGGTGGCATCACTCATTCATTTTCTGCCCATGACATTAAACATGCTGATCTTTCAATTGTAAGCAGCTTTCTTTTCGTTTTCTATATATATTATTTGCATGCTTCAACATTAATTACTTCTTAATTGAATCCATACAAACATAGATCGATAGATATAGCCATGTTTGTCATCCTCATCCAGGCATTTCATGATGAATTGCGCCAATGCAAGCGAAAATCATCTGCCACTTTGGATTATCTCATGGATGAACCAAATTAGGGCAATTCTAGATACAAAATATATTTTGTATTTATACTCCTTCCAAACTGAACCAAATTAGGACAATTCTAGATACAAAATATATTTTTCAGTACTGCTACTTTCAAATGTAGCTTAACATGTTGCAAAATCTTTATAGCTCGATGAGCATTTCACAGTTAATAGAGAACTTCACAATGACATAATCCCTTTTTAAATATAAATCTTTCATTTTGTCCCACTTCATAAATTTTTAATGATTTTTCTGGTTTTATTTATTATACTCAAGTATTCAACCCCCTCTCGTATACAAACCAATAAAAATTTATGAGAAGTTCAAATCCAAAAATTATTATATCATAATAATCGAATAATCTTAAGAGAAGCCCCGTTACTATTTTCCTTTCCAACTTTGCAATGATTTTCATATCTTTCTAGTGGGGGGATTTAGGATCAGGAAAGACATCTTAATTTTTTTTCCCAAATCCCATGTTGGGATTTTTTTTTTTTTTTGAAACAATGCTAGTCCCATCGCTCTGGGAATTGGGAGTGAACCGGATCACGGATAACCTCCACCTCCAGCAATTTACAAATTACAACAAACTGGTTGCTCTCAGACCCGAACCCAAGTACCCATGGGTTTTTCCATTTGATGATAAATAATTAAATATAGCCTATTATCCTTTTTCTCCAGATATTTTGTTCTCCGTTCTTCCAAATTCATGAATACCCGATTGCTGCTTTCCCCCATGAAATTAACCCAATTTAGTTCAATAGCATTCAGCTATGACACAATGCAGAAAGAAATTTTTTTTCATTTTAGTGCAACTGTGGAAGGCGAAAGATGCTGCTACTAGTACTAGGGGGGACCACGTTGACAAAAATGTACCTCCACATTTGTGGGCTACTTTTTTTGCATCCATTTGTCAAACTACTTGTATGGAAGCTATTCTTCCATCATCTTTCAGTAAGGTAATTGATGGGGGTACGCTTGATTAGACTGTATCTACGTAGACATTTACCATATGCTCTCCCAAAAATAAATTGACCACTTTATGATCTTCCCTCCAGTACTGGTTCAGCAATGCCTCCTCCCACTCCAAGAATACTAGTCCCCATAGACCTCAGGAAGAAGCCATGGGAGCAGAAGCTACCACTCCATAACCGTTGGCACCCACTGATACCCGCAGTTGCTGATGTTAGAGTAGGTGATATCTTCAGAATTGAGACGCTAGACTGGACTGGAGGTGCCATCACAGATAATGCATCCGCAATAGATGTGAAAACCATTGATCTCTCAACTGTAAGTACTGTTCTTCTTAGAATCCTACTTCTCCTGAGTTTGAAATTAGATGCTATAAACCACAGTTAAAACCCGCCAAGTTGCATGACGTTCATCTTGCTGTGGGGTCCGAGGAGGGACAGATATATACATATACAGAGAAGCTGTTTCCAAGATTTAAACCCTAGTCCCCTAAGTACAATCAATGGAGCAACCCAATCTTTACGCCAAGGCCCACCCTCTAACGTTATGGCATCATACAGCTATAAAAATTACTTGGCATCAGGAGATCACGATCACCAACTCCTGAGATTCCTTATTATTCTGGAGAATCTTGGCAAGTTAAATAACCAACAAGAGTGGGATAGACCCTCTTTTCTTTATCTTCTTTAAACAGAGCATTGCTATCGTAGGAAAACCACAAATTTGAAGTTTTGCATGAACTTCGTCCTCGAGTATGATCAAATGCAAAGGCATTAAGATAACCACTTAGTCAGCACAAACCGCCATAACAATGATTAGAGAGATATGGTCAGCTAAGAAAAAGGTCACAGCTGGTAACAGGTACAAATTATACAAGCATGTACCCAACAAGAAATAAACAAAAATTTTAGTTTTGATGTCAGTTCAGGAAAAACATCTTTAGTGAGCCATTCCCATATATGGTTTTCTTCAAAAAAGCTTCAGATCAGGAAAAACATCTTTTCTACAGTCGACATACTAGTGATTACAATCCATTTCAATGTTTCCTAGGTGCATTATCTCAGCGGTCCCATAAAAGTTTCAGATAAAGATGGCATTCCAGCCAAGCCAGGTGATCTTCTTGCGGTTGAAATCTGTAATTTGGGCCCTCTTACTGGAGATGAATGGGGTTATACAGCAACATTTGACAGAGAAAATGGAGGTGGTTTTCTGACAGATCATTTCCCTTGTGCAACCAAAGCAATTTGGTATTTTGAGGGAATATATGCTTACTCTCCTCAGATACCAGGTAACTCTACTTATTTCCATTTCCTTCTTTTACTAGCTTCTTTCCAGTTTGCCACAGAGAGAACAAACGTAAGAAGTTTTCAAACTATTTCTATAACCCAATAAAATAGACAGAATCTCCAGCATATAGGATTATTACCATGTTTCATATTTCACCCAACATGCATACTTGGCAGGTGTACGATTTCCAGGTTTAACTCACCCTGGAATAATTGGAACTGCTCCATCAATGGAACTCCTAAGCATATGGAATGAAAGAGAGAAACAACTAGAAGAAAATGGTCCCCAATCTCTGAAGTTGTGTGAGGTCCTGCACTCACGACCACTGGCAAACCTACCAACATCCAAAGGTTGTCTTCTTGGAAAGGTATAATGCACTGATCCAACTGATAATTTATATGCTATTAAGAGAAAAGGAATTTGTCACTTCCTATCTGGTTATCTTCTTCAATAACTTATTCCTCCACTTCCACTTGCAAATTAGGCACTCCACAGATGGGCTTACAGATCCACAAAATGCATGCATATTGGTTGAAAAATAAAAGAGAAACAAAACAAGAAAAAAGTATTCTGACTAGTCATAGCTATTTGTAGATCCAAGAAGGAACTCCAGAATGGGAAAAGATTGCAAGAGAGGCTGCACGGACAATCCCAGGAAGAGAAAATGGAGGAAATTGTGACATCAAGAATCTCAGTAAGGGTTCAAAGATATATCTTCCAGTATTTGTAGATGGAGCAAATTTCAGTACGGGTGACATGCACTTCTCCCAGGGCGATGGAGAAGTCTCCTTCTGTGGAGCAATAGAGATGAGTGGATTTCTAGAGCTCAAGTACTTTAACATCTTTGTGCCATATTCTAAACTAAGTGCTTGGAAGTTGTGCCCTTTGAAAACTCTTGAAATGTTTCAAAAAGTTTTATTGGTAAATTGTTTCAAAGGATTGTTACCACATATGGAAAGCATAAATGAAACTCAGATAAGTTTTCAACTTTTAACAGGTATCTACCTAGATACTATGAAATGGGGTGCTAGCAAAGATTCACTCTTAAAACACACACACACACACCTTATCTGACATTCTGACTCATATCTTAAGTCTTAACCATATCTAGGCTTTTACCAAAAAAAAAACCATATCTAGGTAACATATCTTAACCTGAACCAAGCAAATTTGTACACCATAACCTCACATCTCAAAGAGACACGGAGTGTGACAACCATAAAAAAATTGCACAATTTTCTTAAATGGCAGGGGATGAAATGGAGGTAAACCGGATCAGGCACTAAAACAAAGGATAGGGCCTTTAATGCAGAAATAAAGCATAGACTTCAAAGACAGCATAGAGAAGTGGCAGATCAAAAATCAGCACCATGCTCATCATTTAAGGTTTTGGTTGGGACACCATGATTTAGAAAATGAAGACATATGGGCTGTATAGCAGAAAAGAAAGTCACAGCTTCCATGGGCATGCCTCTTCTCCAATTTACTACTCAATCACCATAAACCTTGTACTCATTCCAACTGATGGATCAAATCATGCATTAGGCTTTGATTTTGAAAATTTTCAAGAAAAAAGTAACAGAATCAACCTTAAAGACAAGGGAATGAATCAAGGAGATGGATCAGTAGACAGTGAGTTTCTAATATGTTTATTATGTTAATTATTTTGTAACAACAAGGAATCTATATGCCTTATAGATGGATACACCTTTTATATACATAGCCTAAAGGAAAAGGACTAACATACCCCAACCAATAACCATAAAGAACAAAGAGATATGACTCTTATGATCAGCTATGATACTGAGGTATCTATACAAGGGTGCTGGATTGTATTCAACACTTCAATTTTTAATGTAAATTTTGTATCTGATTCTGTGTCCTTACTGTATCTGGGTATCATAGACTATAGAGTTGGAATATTAGCACCAAGGCGCATTGACAAGCATATCTTATTTTTCATAGAGGATGCAGATTGAAGTTTATCACCCTCGTTCAGTCTATTGGACCTTGAAGAAAAAGCAGGTTTCATGAAGTTTAAGTTACTCTTAACCCTACATGGGGTGTGTGTGTGTGTGTGTGTGTGTGTGTGTGTATGTGTGTGTGTGTGTGTTTGAGAGAGAGAGTATTATGTAAATAAAACCTAAGATGCATGTCCAATACATTTCCAGCTATGCCCAACAAAATCCATACTACATAAACCATAGAAAGAATTGCATTAGAAATAGAAATACCATATCATCAAAAGGTGCCAGGTCAATTATCAAGCATATTTTCCACACAAACCAAATAGAAGACTCCAAAAAGAACCCCTCCCCCCCTAAATATATTTGTATGAGATCTTCTAAGAGTTCTCTCCCTTCCAAAATACTCAGAATTCACTTAAAGAATATGCTTCTTCACTTGTGAGATGTACAAATCATATATGAAATATTGATATGAAGATAGTGGGTGACACTTATTCTTTCATTAATTTCTTTCAAGAATCTGTTCTGCACAAATTAGATTTTAACAATTCTTGTTCTTCATGTTTCTTCATTTGCAAGCTGAATGAATCAATAATCATATGCCAAATATTAATATGAAGACATTAAGGTGATTCTTGCTGTTTCATTATTTGAAGTTATTGGGTCATTTCAAGAATTTTTTGTGCTCAATAAAACTTCTAAGAATGTCTTTTTGGGGTACTTATGTCTATCATTCAACAGATAAATAGGTTATCTTAAATTGTTTTTTCGCAATGAGGATATGTTTTATCTTTCATTTTGATGAATATGATCAATAAATGGGGCTCCTGGTTACTATAAATACAAATTTCCATCTACATATTCTTTATTCTGCTTTCAAAGCCAATTCAAAGTAAATTTTCTTATTATCAGGTGTGAAATCATAAGGGGAGGGATGAAAGAGTACCTAACACCAATGGGTCCCACTCCTCTTCATGTGAACCCAATCTTTGAAATAGGCCCAGTCGAGCCAAGGTTCTCAGAATGGCTGGTTTTTGAAGGCATCAGTGTTGATGAGAGTGGGAGGCAACATTACCTTGACGCAAGTGTTGCATACAAGCGTGCAGTGCTCAATGCCATTGACTATCTCAACAAATTTGGATACTCCAAAGAGCAGGTCTAAATTCCCCCTCAAGATCAAAATTATTAAATAAAAGATAAAATAGGATGATAACACACAAAGAAACTACAGGAAAAAAGAGTTAACTCTTATGGGAACTTTTTTTTTTTGATAAATAACTCTTATTGGTGGCCACCAACACACAAGTACAGAATGACTTGCTAATATGTTGATGAGTATCAGGTCTATCTTTTGCTATCGTGTTGTCCTTGTGAAGGAAGGATATCAGGAATAGTTGATTCTCCAAACGCTGTTGCAACTCTTGCAATTCCAACAGCTATATTTGACCAGGTAGCCAAATTATTGCCACCATTTAAAATTGTTAAATATTTATGGATGGAAAGTTTCTGTGTTTAACCGATAAGATATCCATTCATAGTAATGATTTAAATGCAGTGTATATATCTCTGCCTGACCTTTAAAGGTGATTTTCCATACTCCATGGGCATTTTCTTTATAAGTAACCATTGTCATGGATAAATTCTTTCTCCAGTAATCAAGTATTATAGCATTTAGCAAGGAACTTTCTTTGGTAGGTAATGAGTAAATTTCATTAATAATTTTAAAAATCCAGTAGTACAACAAAGAGTTGAAAAGAAGATCAACCCTCTAAATACCACAGGTCCGACAAAAGAAGGATTTAGGAAAGACATTAATGCCCCACAATCTCTTCTAACTCCGTCTTGATATCATGCCTTTGCATCTTGTTAGGTTCTTTCGATACAAAAAACCCAATCCATGATAAAAGGGAAGATGATCCCACACATCCTTGGGACCAGCCTCAACTTGTCTTGTAATTTTGCCAAGAATCTAAGCAAGCAAAACTGATTTATGAAGTGTTGGTCTGGTTTTAGAAGCCTTCAAAGAGTTGTACAGGATAAGCTGCCACTTATCCTTCGAGATTCCAACACTTTTTTTCTTCATTTTCTCTCTTAATTCCCCATCCTTTTACTCCCTCCGATCCTAGTAGCGAGTATTTAACAGGAAAGAACTGTCTTCAAACCTCATCAATAGTTTTTTTTTTTAATAGTGGGGGTTATGAGTCCTACCTATAGACAAGAGAGTAGCCACCTAAAATCTCATGCTTCTAGGTGTAGGTTACTGGGATAGGACCATTAGGTTATATGCTAGATCTAGGAAATGCAATAGCCTGTCAAACCCCAAAAGTATCATCTTATTATGGCGCAGGATATGTCTAATCTCAACAATTAAATTGCTTTCACTAAAAGATACTGCAATCTAGTTGAATCTGGGTGTTCAAAACAGAATATTTTCCATTGACAGCCCAATGATGGCTTGGTATGAATTGGAACCATTAAAACTGGACTTGGGCCCTTTATAGGGGAAGTACTTTTGGCTGATTTGGTTGTTGTCAAATGGTTGAACAAAAGGGGTGAAGTGGTGTCACTTTATCAACATAAGACCAGTTAGAGTCCATATTGCCTAATTCTGCTTTACCAATTACAGTACCTTCCTGCATCAAAATCAGTTTATTGTTGATGATCTGTAGAACTACCAAATCCTCTCTCAGATGCATCTTCATGACATCTATACATAGCCAAACCATCAAATTGGCACTGAGAAGTGAAAATGAATTTCATAGACCTGGATATATGGCAACAATCACTGTCTGTCGTGTGTATACGGTATCTTGGTGCAAAAGGAAGAGTCAAGCTACTGCAAGACCTGTCCAAGAAGTTCAAGCACTAAGATAGTCTGAAATGTAAGCAAATATGTTGCACGTACAGCATGACTTTTTTTT